AATATTGAATAATACCTCTTTAAAATTATTGCGAGATCTCGTGCAAATTATAAACGCGAGGTGACGGATTTAAATCCAAATTACCATATTTTTTTTTGCAAACACATAATTATAATGTTTTGGCATGATAGTATAATTAATAACATTTTTTTTTTTTTAAATTGTTATTAAATATTTTATATTTTCATTCATAGTTATTTTAAGATATAGGTAAGGCAGGGGCGTATTTAAGGGAGGGGCACATGGGGCCCGTGCCTCCCCCATTCACCGTATTTTATACTTATTTTTATTAAATGAGTAATTTTACAACTCTACACCCCATGTACGTAAATTTGAACTTTTTGTTTGTGCCCCCCCCCCCTTAAGACATTTCTAAATACGCCCCTGAGGTAAGGTACTTATGAGTTATGACATATAGTCTGACTTTATTCTTCTATAGATTATTGAATTAATATTTAAAAAAATACTAAAATTAAGCATATTGAAAAACATAAAATTATTAATAGGGCAGTAGTAAGAACCAGTAGCGCCAGAAAACCAAATTTGTACCCTTCATCCTGTTATCCTATTACGCTAAAAATAAACGACAGATTTTTTTTAATTTATCATTTTTTTTTTTTTTTCGAGAATATGAAATCTACACACAAAGGTATAATAAGAATATTTACTACAATTTAATTTGGAAAAACCTGAATAGAGTGAGGGAAGAAACCATCCAAGTGATCGCACTTCCTTTTGCTTAGATATAATTTAATATATATATATATATTTTTTTTTTATTTATTTAATTAATTAATATTATTAAAATTATCATATTTTAATTAAAAATACCATTCGATGAAATAGCGCCACTTGCTAATTGAAACTATGGCCCGTGCAAGATGTATATTTAATTTTTGGCCCTTGAAATCAAAAAGGCTACCCCTGCATGGCTGCATTATAGTACTGTTAGTGACCAGTCATTTATTAAGTACATTATGTAATTTTTATTTTTATCTGATGCTATATATAAGGTCTGTATGGGCAAATCATGGGCAGAAAATACTACTTTGAATATTGCATGTTTTTGTATGAATAATATTAGATGCTAATATTTCCTCAAGAAATAATCTAAAGGAAATCTAACAGTTCATTAATCTTTGTTGGAAATTGGACATTAACAGGTTATTATTAGTATTTAAATTATAAAATACTAAAATTAAAAWCAATAAGCATCTAGATTTCCTATTACTACTTGAAGTATTGTATTAGTATTACCTTTTTTTGCAAAGATGATACCAACTACCAAGTGTTATAACTTATAAACATATTAAATATAAACTATTTCTGCAGTAGAACCTGTCATTTCGACTGTCTTCATAAAATTTACATCATGTTATAATTTATATTATACAACATCTAATTCAGTCCTGTAAAGTATTTGAGTAAAAGTATTCAAATACTTTTTTAAGTATTGAATACATTTTTAAATACTTTCAGCATGAAGTATTTTGAATGGTATTTTAAATACTTTTTTAAGTATTATTATATTAAGTACTTGTTTGTATTGAATACTTTGGTTTTTTTATTTCGAACATTTTATTTTTTCATTAAATTCAATACTTCACTGCCAAGTGCTTCAGTGGAACGGGTATTTAGTTTGGGTAGAGCAACCATGACCAAAAAGAGAAGCAGTATGACTGATGAACATTTTGAAAACATCATGTTCTTAAAATTTAACAAATATTTATTCAATCAATAATACATAAAATAAAAATTATTATAAACTTACTATGTGTCTATATTACGATAAATCATTAGAAACCTACTTTAAAAACCAAAAGTACTTGAAAAGTATTCCAAATACTTTTTAAAAGTATTCTTTACAGGACTGATCTAATTAAAGAACTTAACACCATTAACACAAGCAGCTGCTTTGAGGTTCCCACACACTGTAATGGTGGCGGTAACATTCTTTTGTATTGGTAGTTCTGTAGCAGTCGCAGTAAATTCTGTCTGGACTGACTTTACCGCTGCAGTCTGTGTGAATTTTTAAGAAGATGTAAAAATTGATGTATGTGTTTAATTGTAATTGTTTTATACCAAGTATGAAACTTGGGTAAAAAGTGTAAATCAATGTTAGGTTATTATAACACTGAACATTAATAGACCAATAAACAATGATTAAATAACTAAATAAGTTTAATTTAAGATAAAACATTTTAAATAAATCAAAGAGTAGGAAAAAAATCATAACATCTTATTGATGAGTAATCATCAAATATAACATTTTTCAAAGAAGTTAATTGCAATTATTAATATGGAATACTATTAAAACGACATACTCAGGGGGACTTGTTGAACATGAGCATCTTTAGGATGACCAATTCTCAAAAACTTTAACAAATCACTGTCTCCATGGATATGCTGTTAGTGATACACATTATCTTATTAGCCTGGTTGTGTATTCTTGTTTGTATCAGTAATATGTACAATCTTCATCGTAGTAAAGTAAACAGTTGAATTTAATATACTCAATCAGAATTCAAACAATTAACATCATAAAATAAAATAATAAAATAATATATATTGGAAATTACCGAGAGATCATGATGATCGCTGTTGAAATTCTACTAACTGATTATTAATAATATGTGCACTCCTGTAAAAAAAACAAGATTTTAAATTACAACATAAAAATTATATGACATTATTTTTTACGCCAAAGTACTCTTCAAATTTTAATGAACAATAAGATAACCTAACCTAACCTAACCTATTAATCATAGAAGTATCAAACCAAGATTGATAAATGTATACACAATAAATACTAAACACACAGCAGAGTATAGTATTAATATAGTATTAGTATTTAAAGTAATAATTTTTGATACTAGTTTTAAAATTATTTTATATTRAGCAGAGCTTGAATTGGGGAAAAAAATTGAAGGCGGATGAAAAAGTGTGAAAAAATGTTTGTAACTGAAAATCTATTGTCTTATTTTGAATAAAAATAAAAGAYGGACTCGGGGATGAGTTCATCTACTAGTCAGCAATCAGAGACTGGCTTGTCCACCGTATTATATAATTTGTTTCTACATTATTTTTAAGAATAAAATA